TTTTTATTCATATAATTACTGATGATGATAAGCAGAAATTATTGTACCTTAAAAGTACGATCAACTAATTTCTTTTCTTTTGTTACTCAGTTTTGGTTAACATTTATTTGTTTTTTCCTTTTTGGATGAATATTGATGTTTGGGCTCAATTAATAGGCATTTTAGGCAGTTGTTACAGTTGGTTAATGAATGGGAGAAGACAAATACATTTAGAACTGAAATGTAATTGATGATATGTGAAACTTCCCTTTAACTCTGCAAGTATGAATTGAGTCACTTTGACCAAACCTATATTCAGAAAAATATGCATACTGTAACCCTGAATTTACTTAGTGCATTTTCACAAAAATTGGCAAGCTTCTGGCAAATGTTAAATAAAAACAACACAAAACAACAGATTTTTGAATAAAGTGTTTCTACTAAAGATTTGTATGTGAACTTCTGAAGTATTTGAAGAGTCATCAGCAATTTTTATGGTGCGAATGTCTTTTCCAAGCTGGCAAAGCATTATTATAATAAATTACGTATTAGTATTAGGACTGTTATATATTACAACACTGCATTCTCTATCAAGTCCCTTGGGGATTTTCAAGAATTAGAAGAGAGTATAATAACAGTATTCCAACTACACACTCATTTTCTCTACCCTAACACTATCTGTAAAGAAATCACCAGTTGTCACTGAAATGAATAGTTTAATAATATAAAATGAGTGATACAATTTCTTACTCTGCTCTGACTGCAGTATTGTTCAGAATGTTCCTATTTATTATCTTAACAGTTTTCAACTGTTAACATTTTCACATCTGTTTTCTTTAATTTTAGTTTTACATTGTACCCACTGGACCAGTAATCTTCCCATCAAAAGTAATAAATTACAATGTGAGGCTATTAGCTGCTTCTAGTGGATCTATCATAAACAACACTTGAAATATACAACTGCTATACTTGAACTCATGCTTGTGAAATTTTGGACGCTATTTTACTGTAATTTTGTTAGGCTAAGTTGGGAAGTTTCTCATTTTTACACGTAAAATATATAACAATAAATAAAATTTGAATTCAAGTTGAAGCCATTTTTCTATAAATTATCTTGAGTTTCACAAATTTTTGTGTTCTAAAAAAAATACATGTAAATTCCAAATTTTGAAATATGCATTTTCCAACACAAAATATATATCAGCTGGTAGAATAGAATATCCTAAAACTACTAAATTGATTTGGCTTTATAAGTAAGTTATAAATAGGTTAAAAATTTCTGTTAGATGTTTAGAACAAGAATATAATGTTTGCACACAAAGAAACTATAACAGATTGTTATTCTCTGGAAATCAAATAGCTGTAGTGAACCTTATGTTGAGGTACATCTGCTTTTTATATTTATAATTTATCTGGTGTTCTAAGTAAGTTTTATAACCTGTGATGCTCAAAAACCATCAAAAAAGGCATAAGCTGAAATGTCAGATAGAATAGAAAAATATCTAAAGTTTTCATCTTTCTTGGAATTGGTTTTCATCCTTCAGTTAACACTAAAAGCTTTATAAATAGTAATAATTTATGAATAGATTAAAAGAGATTAGGTAGTTGGAGCAGGAATAAATGTCCATACATAAAGAAACTATGACATTTTATGGGTGTCAAAATCAAATAACTGTAATGAAACTTATGTGTAGGATAATCTCCTCTTCCTAGAGGTTTTAAATTATGTTTAGTTTGTGTGTAATTGTTTGGAAGCTGTAGCAGCATATTTTTGATGTTAGAAAATTCTGAAGGGGTAAATTTGTGCTCTGATGCACCATTTAACACAGAAAAGTGAAAATTGAGAAACGTTCCTTTTTTTTTTTTAATTAACTCTATCAGTACGGACTTTTTCAATTTGACCGACCACGTGACCTCTTTGTACTTGTTCAAAGTTTTATAAATTTGATACTACTAACTTTTAATGTATGTTTTCACAAAATAAGTCTCACATAAAAAAATCATATTTTTTTTGAAGTATTTTAATAGACTAAAAAACATTTGTCCATGAATATATTGAGTATTTGTTTAGAATATTCAGCGTGCAAAGTGATTTTCATGTTAAGATTAAAAATACTTTTCTTCATCTCAAAAATTTCAAATTTTATTTGTGTAATGTCGAAAACCTCCTAAATACATTTCCAATGTTTGTTTTCAATAAAACTTTATATTTTATATCTACCCTAACTCTATACAATGTTGGTCAATTTGACCGACCTCATAACCATAAAAATAACATAATCAAAATATATCTAAATTACCCTCTTTTTCTTTCTAGAATGACTTCAAGAGTAACATGAAACTACATTCGTTTATCCTAAGTAGCTCTAAACTCGTAACAGTATACATCTATTTATAATTAAAGTTTATTGTTCTTTGAACAATGTCTAACTACTGTTCGTGCCATTATAAGTTGTAAGTCACTTAGGGAATATGCAGCTCCCTTAATGCTATTAAATTACATTACCCACAAGCTACTCCGAGCTTCTCGCGTGCATGTGTCATGAAATATTTTTATTATATTATTAGTATTATTTATTTTACCTAATCTAACCTAAAGAGATCCCTATTTTTACATTTTAGTTACTTTTATAATAATAAATAAACATGAAAAACAAGAAATAAAGTACTTACCCATGTCTTTTTTTTTTTTACTGTTGACTGTTGATGACACTTAACCCTACTTTCTTTTATACTAATGGTAGTAATACACAAAATAATTTTTATTTAAATAAA